TTTTTTTTTTTTTTTTTTTTTTTTTTTTTTTTTTTTTTTTTTTTTTTTTGTCTTTTTTGTGACCGGTAAGGGGATTGCAACCCTTGGCTTGGTGTCGTCCACGCCACGCTCAGCCAGTGAGCGCACCCGCCATTCCTATATAGGAACCGAACCCACAGCGGGAGTGTCGCTGCGCTCCCAGCGCCACACTCTCCCAAGTGCACCACGGGGTCGGCCCAAGATTTCTGTTTTCTTCTGTCTGAAACTCCATTTCAGATTCTGTATTCCCAAGAGTTCCACAAAAGCCACAGAATCAAGTACCATTGGCTCTGACTGGGTCACATGACCATCCCTAAACGAATCACATCCGTTGTCCAGGTCTGCGTCTCCTTCAAACCCCTGAAACTCCATCCAGTTCACGTAGACAGAAGTTAGGGGAAGGACCAGTCCCCAGGTGAGGTCAGAGTGCTAGACAAACAGAAAGACAGGTGTCCCCTGTAGCCTCATCTTGAGGGTGAAGACGCTCTTTGGTCTTGATTCTGTGCAGTACTTAATACCCGGGAAAACTCTTATCCTGGGTTAGGGTTTCTCGTTCAGTGCCGGATACAAAATGAGACGGGTAGTGCTTAAACTCCGATCCACCTGCCAGCCCCAGTTCTACTCAAGGATGAGCAGAATCGATCTCATGTGCTTCAGTGGCTCCTTACCAGGCAGTGCCAACCACTTCTCTCCAGCCAGCAGCTGCCCAGTCACAAGATATTCTTGGAACACCTTCTGGGCACACTGTTTGGACTGGCAGTGGGAGTTTCTGGTTTCCTCGCCGAGTTCAGTCCAGAAATGTGGAGTTTTTGGTTTTAGCTCTAGAGAAGTTGCCAGAAGCTTCATGAGCCCAAACAGTCCCTGCCTGGGCTGAGGGAGGGGGAGACCAAGAGACCAGAGTTCTGCAGCCTTCAGCCATTCAATCTCAGGTCTTTAAAAATCAGACCTTTCTAGCATCTTCACTTCAAGTGTGCTGCATTTATAGAGCTTCCAGCACCCATGATCATACATAATTCTAAGAATTCCTTCCAAAGCTGGGTTTTTCTGACTTTTAGATTTTCTTCTTCAGCCCCCTTCCTCTAAACAGGTAATTAAGAGTTAGCTTTAAAAAAAAAAAAGAGTTAGCTTTCACAAATCTCATATTGGGTAAAGTCCAGAGGAATGTAATCAGAATTAGAAAGCAAATCTTTCCACTAGTTCTTCTACCCACACTTGGATAGGCTGTAGTGTCTGCCCTTCTCCAGATTGTTTCAGAAAGGACCCATTTTCAGAGCCCTTCTCCCCTTTCGCTTGGCCTCTGGTTGCTCAGCAAGACCTGGAGCTCTGAGTCTGGCAGGGGAAGCAGCCAGAATTGGGGAGCACAAGAGAGATAAACAGAGACAGAGAGAAGAGACAGAGCAGAGACAGAAAGAGTGAGACCAGAACCTCCCATCCACAGGGTGCAGGTGGCCAGTCGCATTGCAGCCCCTGCCTTCTAGAGGATCATTGGCAGAGCAAACTGACACAAAAGGCTTTTAACCAGCACAGAGAGGACACTGATGGCCTTTGTCCACCTCGACTGCCTACTGGGAGCTGCATCAGTGCGGCCTGGGAGGAGGTTGGGAGGAGCCTGGGCAGGGATACATCTGCCCTGGGGCTGGGTTGGGGGGTGGCAGTTCCTAAGATGGCTCACAGCCTGTCTCCCTTTCCCCCCTTCACTCCTCTTGCACCCAACTGGATTGGTCTGGTCTCTCCTACCCTCGTTTTTGGGGGATATTCATCATGCAGTCTGTTTGGCGCAGCTAGTGGCAGCTCTCCAGCTCAGCCTCATGTCCCTGAACCAGTCCTTCCCCACCCCCTTATCCCTCCAGCAATTAAGTAATAACCACCAAGAAGGTCTGAAGGGGCTTCGCCAGCTAAGAGCACTTCAACTAAGGTATCTTCCACCCTGTCAGAG